CAAGACGAAATTAATCCGTTCCGCGAGTCTCTTCGTCTTGTGGTTTTTTCGTCTTGCGAAGCACAGCTATTAGCGGCTTAGCGGCTATTAGCGGCTTAGCGGCTATTAACGGCTTAGCGGCTTAGCGGCTTTAAGAAAAAGGAAACAAACTCGCAAGAACTCACAAGACGTTTCATCTTGCGAAGCAAGCCCATAGGGAAATTCGTCTTGCGGAACGACTCAAAAAACGGAAAACCCTTTCGTCTAGCGAGTTTTTCGTCTTGCGAGGCATTCGTCTTGCAGGGCACCACTGTATTATATTCACAACTGATACTATATCAAATTTAAATAATTGTACATTTTGCGCATTGCCACAAGAACCCTCCATTCACATAATCAGGCCGGCGGGGGGGGGGGGGATACACTGACAATCACTATTACATTTGATTGCCTTTTCTGGGTACACACTATCTAATTGCTTTTTTCCCCTTTTCCTTTTTACTATTGCTTATGTAATCAGGAGGGAGAGAAGAGAATTGCAAAACCTTGCAAGCTCATATATAAGTGAATTGTTATGGATGCTGGGCTGAGATCCTTATTATGTGCCCAATAAATCACAAAATCAAAGAATATGTAAACAAGATTTTTTTTATTTAAAAAACCCTTCAATAAAATATGTCAATAGCAGGCAGAAAATGCTTCTATTTTCATTGCCTACGAATTTTTTTAAAAGGGCTGCTGTTTTTTAAAAGATGAGCTGCAAATATATTCCAATCACTCGCCCCTAGTGGGAATCAATAATTCATCCATCTGCATCTTCTTGCACTTTGCTGACAGTCCCTGACTAAATTAATGGCTGCACATGACAGAATGACTCCAGCAGAGTCCCACAGGAGAGAGACTGCATTGCTGCACAAATGGCAAGCTGCTGGTGGCTCAGGTGCTACTGGTCACAGGAAAGGAGAAAATTCATACTTAGCATAAGCAAAAGCATTGAGAAACTCTTATAGTTTCTAATACTGCAGAGTCAGTCATCTAGTTCAGTATTTGGTCCATTTAGCTCAGTATTGTCTATGCTGACTAGTAGTAATTAAGGATTTAGGGTGCTGTATTACCAAAAATTACCAAAGTCTGCCCCTGCTGTTAGCAGCTAGGAATTGAACCCAGGTCCTAATATTCAGGATTTCACTTAGACCATGGAATAGCTCTGGTACCTAAAGTTAATCCTGTAAATAAGGGCGCTCATTGCACTAGACCCATGACAAAGGTGTGCCGACTTCTGTATCAGTGGCATAATGTTACACATATTTTGCATTTCAACTACAGTGGTACCTCAAGTTACAGACGCTTCAAGTTACAGATGCTTCAGGTTACAAACTCCACTAACCCATAAATAATACCTCGGGTTAAGAACTTTGCTTCAGAATGAGAACAGAATGGCAGTGCAGTGGCAGCGGGAGGCCCCATTAGCTAAAGTGGTACCTCAGGTTAAGAACAGTTGCAGGTTAAGAACCCACATCCAGAACGAATTAAGTTCTTAACCCGAGGTACCACTGTACTTATGTCCCTAAAAAAAAAAGGTGATATAGATCCTTGACAGCATTGTATTCCATCTCTTCAGCATTCTTTGAAGAATAAGCAACTCATAACAAGGCTCAAAGGATTTTGTTCTAAATAAAGAGCAGTGTAATTAAATTAGCTAGTGAAAGACACAGAATCTGACAGAAGAAAGCTGTACCTAACATGTGCATGAGCAAACTTACTGTCTAGAGAGAGCCAGTGTGGTGTAGTGGTTAAGAGCGGTAGTCTCCTAATCTGGGGAACCGGGTTCGTGTCTCCGCTCCTCCACTTGCAGCTGCTGGGTGACCTTGGGCCAGTCACACTTCCTTGAAGTCTCTCAGCCCCACTCACCTCACAGAGTGTTTGTTGTGGGGGAGGAAGGGAAAGGAGAATGTTAGCCGCTTTGAGACTCCTTAAAGGGAGTGAAAGGCGGGATATCAAATCCAAACTCTTCTTCTTCTTCTTCTAGACAATGAAGCAGATTCTGAGAGGTTTTTTGGTTTCTTTTTTTTTTAAGGCTGGGTTTTTTAATTCAGAGAGAGAGAGAAAAGAAGAAGAAGAAACTCTTCATTTTAAATTTTAATTTCCATCTCTGTGGGATATGATTGATCTCTGAAAATGATTGTGTGTGTAAGGCTATTGATTCAAGGTCAGATCTCAAGATTATCGGTGTGGCTTGAAGTTGTAGACAGGATTTCACTCTGATTTTTAAGAGCTCAGCTTTATTACGAAGATGGGCCTGCATCTCTGAAAACGTGAGGAGGAGGCAGTGTTTTCCAAATTTTAGGCTGACACCCTCTAGTAAATTGTAGCTGCTTTACAGAAGTAGGTTCCTACATCTGTGGTGGTGGAGATAATATAATACATAAAAGGTTCTCCTTTGAGCAATGGCACATCATCAACGTATCCTGCCTCGGTCTGGTCCCGGCTCTAGAGTTGAGGGCTAGATCTCCAGGACAGACGCTAGTGGGTTAAGGTAGCAGTCAGATATTAGGGCAGTTCAGTGTGGGTCGGTGTTAAAGAATGTCCTCACCAAAAAGGGGAATGGAAAAACTTGGCAAAGTGGCTTAGGCATGTCGCTTCCTGTGCAGGAGCTAAAGACCAGGCACTCATGAAGAATTCACTATACAGTTAACTCACAATACAATGGTATACATGTCTATTCAGAAGTAAGTCCCTTTGTGTTTAATAAGGCAGCCTACACTTTGGTTTAGGGTTGGCATTAGAGGGAAAACAGAGTTCTTGTGCCTTCAAGCAGCTTATTGGCATGGAGAAATTCATCAGGTGAAGACTTTTCTAGTTTAGAAACACACCATGTGTACACTATGACTGTGCCATCTAATTTTGTGTTATGCCATGCCCTGCCCCCATGTCAGCCATTTTGTGACTGGCACCAGGAACACGTTCTCAAAATTCAAAATGTGCCCACTGGTCCAAAAAGGCTGGCGATCCCTGCCACCAGGGAAATTTTAACTGTCTGTTAAGCAGTTCTGGGGCAAGGGAGAAATGATTTTTTTAAAAAAAAAAAGTTTGGGGTGATATGAACTCAGCTTGATGGTTATAGGATAGTTCTAGCCAAAGCAGAACTCTGAAATGCCTTGCAGGGGCCTACAGTGAAACATATATTGGTGCAGTTCCGAGATGTGATTTTGAGTTTTCAAAAATAACCTGATACATAGTAAACAAAACTAAGGTATAGTACTAAGCATCTGCTCTTGAGCAGTTAATAGTAGTTATATTACTGGATTTTTATTTTTGTTTTCATCTCTCTCTGGGGCTAACCCAATAAGGAACAAAACCATTTTTATCTCTCCATGGCAGTGAATTGAAATGTCAATTTGATATTTTCATTCTTGCAGCTTTCAGCTGTGACATTTCTCCCACAACCAGCAATTCTTCCCATTCTTTATTTCCCACTGAAAGAGAATTCCGATGCACGGATATTCTTTTGTGACCATTATTCAACTGTTATCATAAAAAGATTTCCCCCTTGGAATTTGCTGTATTTTTCCAATTCATAACTCAAAGTTCTTGAAAATGCACCAGAGATTGTTGGAACCCATCATAGGTTTTCGGAGCTGCTGGGTTCATTAGTAAACTGTGTGCTTTAGAAGAACAATTGTTTCTGTGATAAATCTCCACAGAACCAAAACAATGACCATCTCCCTTTTTAACGCTCTCACTGGAAAGCTACATGAGAATGTAAGAGCCCTCCCAGATCAGATCATCTAATCTAGCATCTTTTTCTGTACAGAGGCCTACCAGAAGCCTGTGGAAACCTAGAAACAGGATAGCAATAGGTCTCTGCCAGTTATACTTCCAGATAACTGGTACTGAGAAGCATATTGTCTCTGAAACCTGAATCTGAATATGTAAATGTAATAGTGGGCACATTATCCTTCTGATACTCTCATATTTCTTGCATTATGTTAACCAATGAGAGAAGGTACTCGCTGCTGTGGAAAATACAATTGTTTGGATCCAGAGTGCCCCTTTCATGAATGGAAAAGCTCTTTCCATTCCTATAAAGGACTAGGGTCCACATAAGAGTCCTGCTGGAAGATTTATTTTCCTTGCCCCCTGATACCCCCTGAGCTAACTCTCACACTTTTCCAGAGGGTTCTCCAACCTTCCAGAGCAGCTTTGCAGGGAGCTGCAGGGGCAAGGAAGACTTGGCCCCAAAAATAAAAATAAAAGCCTCTCCACCGGCAGAAATATCCTATTTTGAAGCTCTGCTCAGGTGAATTCTGGATCCCAACCATTAATTGCTGGCACTTAGAAATGGAAGAAGGTGGTAGATAAAGAATGGAGAATGTCCAGAAGGGACATTTGGCTTGGATCGCATGCTGTGCAGTTTTGCCTAAAGAAGTCCATGTGAGAGAAGATGTTGCTGTATTTGACTGATCCAGTCTCTGCCATAACCCTTCAGGATTGATTTAGGAGCTGCTCTAGGGTCCAAATGGGATGTGGGTGGTGCTGTGGGTTAAACCACTGAGCCTTGGGCTTGCTGATCAGAAGGTCAGTGGTTCGAATCCCCTCGACGGGTGAGCTCCTGTTGCTCAGTCCCTGCTCCTGCCAACCTAGCAGTTTGAAAGCATGTCAAAGTGCAAGTAGATAAATAGGTACTGCTCCAGCGGGAAGGTAAATGGCATTTTCGTGCACTGCTCTGGTTTGCCAGAAGCGGCTTGGTCATGCTGGCCACATGACCCAGAAGCTGTATGCCGGCTCCCTCGACCAATAAAGCGAGATGAGCGCCGCAGCCCCAGAGTCATCTGCAACTGGACCTAACGATTAGGGATCTCTTTACCTAGGGTCCAATAGCTGTGGGCCAACGATATAATGGCAAACCTCGAGCATCCAGGCTGTTCATGTGTGCAGTCAATGCTCATTGCAAAGAGGTAAGAGAAGCTGGTCCATACAAGTCATGCCAGAAGAAATCACACAGGTGCTTCCTTTATATATAAAAGGATAAATAGAGCATTTATTAACACTTTTTGCAGCAACAAAAGTGACACAGTCCACATCTTTTCACAGCAAAAGCTATGGCCACATTTTACATCACTTTGAGGCACAAAGCAAAATATATAATTGGTATTTCTCCCCCTCCGGATCAAAGTATGGTTCACTTTATTTTATTCTTGTTTAATAATAATAAAAAAGAAGAAGAAGAACAATCCTCAAGTTGTATATTGCAGTAGCAGGGCCTTAAAATACTAGCACAATACAAGGAGCAGATCAAAAAACCCAGAATGGCTTTTTTAAACATACAATGATAGTTGTTTCGTTGGAGTTGGGAAATGGATACTTGTAAGAGCAGTAAGTGGTCTGGCATTCTAATGTAGTCCATTGTTGATTGGTCTGGCCTTTTATTTAGTTATTTATTTATTATCCCAACTGTCTGAAGGACCTACAAGCTCAGCAGTCACAGTAACAAAGAGATTAAAAGAGCATGCACTTCGTAGTGCATGGCACTTATTGCTTGGTACACTTACATTACAAATCTTGCTGAATAACGCTTTAAAAAATAATAATGCAAGGCCCTGATCCGGAACTCTGTGCTCATGAAGCACATACAGAGCTCCCGCTTTCTCAGGTTTCCCTATTCACTTCAGCAAGGTCAGATCCCTCGGGCACAAAAAGATGCACATGTTCTGAGTTGCCCCTCTGGAAAGCCTGTGGGAGTTCAATGTGCTCACTGGAGCTCCTGAATTGCACAAGGCTTTCCTATCAAGGCAAAGACCTGCAGCCCGCAGTCCACTGAAGCCAATGGCAAACCTTCCATTGATTGCGATGGATCTGAATTGCACTTGAGCATTGCAAAAGTAGAAGTTACGCTCTTCCTAAGCCCAACCCCAGTTCCACTTTTAACTCACCACGAAGATTGTTGCTCATATTCAGGGTCCATTATAGTTCTATTTATTTGAAAGGCAAATACATTTTTTCTTAAAATTCAGAAATCTTTAAAATAGTACTATTTTCTATAATTATACAGCATCTTCAATAAACTATGACTTTATTTATATAATTGTGGCACAGCATCTGAAAATATGAAAAACTATCCAGGATTAAACAAATAGCTAATTTCTTCTCCCTTTCTTGCATTTATTTCAAAACAGGCTTCAAAAGAAATACATCCGACTTGTTCTAGGGCTACTTGTCTGTGGTACATTTTTTCTTTGGATCTGTTTGGGTTATGCTCTCTCTTTCTAATGAGCCTGCAGACAATGAGTACGCCAAATACTCCTTTGCCTTGCTTCAGTTATTTAACATTCTGCACAGTAGACTACATGTGACTTTATACTGGCTGGTACATGTAAGGAAGAACATGACACATACAAAGACTGCATGAGTCTGTAAAGAAGAGAAATAAAACATTTGTGCCTAAACATTCAGTAAAAACAATTCCTTTATCACAGAGTAGCCTGCAGCATATTAATCACAATAAATATACATTATATAGTAGATTGTTCTACAAAGTCCCAATTCACTTCTCTCGAAAGGGAACTGGATTGGAGCTTTATTGTATAATCTAAAACAGAAGCCTTATTCTCTAAGAAATCCATGTCTTAGACCAACCATACATTTCCTACATCGTACCAAGTAAACATGTGGTTAAATTCACACAATCAATTTTATGATCTCTTTCAAGACAGTGTAACAAATATGTAAGTGCATTTTTTAAAAAATCAAGTAGTTTTGGCTTTCTAAACAGAAGAGTTGATGTACCGACTTGGTTGGTAGTTGTGCTTTAATCCTTAGCTATGAGCTTAACACTCATTTTACTGCAAGTACCTAGTTTCCTTTGTAGTTTTGACCAGATAACCCTTAAAACTCTAGTGAATGGAGACACCCAAATGGAACTGATGAGATGTCACAAACTCATACAGATTGCACTTAAATGGGTTTTTGTTTTTTTCATTTTTACAGTAAGACCTTCTTGCCTGATATGTGTTTACATTATACCACATTTTGTGTGTGTGCAAACAATCACAATGAATAAATCACGAACACTACAAAATATATCCAACATAGGTCTGTTATGAATAATCTTCTCTTTCCTTATAGCTATATGAGTCTTGTGCTTCTTCTTGTACAAATTCTTCTTTCTTCTCCCAACCATTTGGCCAGCCGCCATTGACCTGGGCCAATTGGGTCGTAGCACCGTAAGATTTAGTGGTACCGTAATTTACATAATTCTGAGTAATGTCCCCCGTTTCTTCATCAAGTTCATCTTCATGAATGAAGCCACATTTTTCTTCACTTGTCTGTTCTGGGTCTGCCCATGGTTGTTTCTCTCCTGAAGCAAATATGCCATAGAAAATGACTCCCCCGTAATGCACCAAAGCAGCAATAAGGAAGACATACTGCCACTCCTCGCGTGTCTGTGAGGAAGAAGATTGGAGTGTCAGAATAGCTGTGTGTGGCTCTTCTGGTCCTGAATTAGTCTTTATTGAAATCATGGGTGGTTGATACAAATCCTGCAGCAAATGGGGCTCATCTTTGGCCCTCCAGATGTTGCTAGAGGCTTATAAGAGGTTGCAGTCCTACAACATCTGGAGGGTCACAGGTCAGCTACTCCTGCCCTATGGAGTGGCTTCAGTTGCATAGGTAGTTAAAGCAGCATATGCATGGTATGTAGAGAATATCTGCTGTATACTGCTCTGCTTACAACTCATGAACATCTGAAGCCATATTATACTGTGCGATTCCTGAGTCTGACTGCCAATTGCTTTCCAAAATCTCAAGGATTCAGCCATGCCCAGACCTGGAACCTGAGGAACAGCAGGGGGGAGAGCAGGAGATCTCCATAGTGTCAGCAACCCAAGACACCAAAGGATCCAGAGATTGGGACATGCCAGATACTCTACAACTGAGCCTCAGCCCTTCACCATATACAATCCCAATGATAAGGAACCTGCAGCCCTCCAGATGTTATTGGACGCCATCTCCCATCAGTCCCAGCCACCATAGCCAATAGTCACTGGTGATGGAAACTGGAGTCCAACAACATGTGGAGGACCCCAGGTTGGTGAAGGCAGTTGTAGGAGCATCAATTTATGTAATCATGTCCCACATGCTCCCAACAGGATTGTGAATCTACAGCCCATTGCATGCTCCTATAACACTAGATTCAATCTTCCTAAAATGTGAGACTTTCACAGAAGGTACAGCACACAGTTTGGGTGAGTTTTCACTTTCAGCTATGTTGTGGAAAGTGTAGCCAATCAATGTTACACTGTTTCCCATGATTTTTCCAGGATCGGCTCACTTTACCATTGTGAGGTGAGGAAACTACTATGAATTGACTTTTTGGTGCAACAGAATGACAATATAGTCTTATGAGACTGTTCCTTCTTTCCTCAATGGTTCAGGCAGAGTTAACAAAAACTGTTTTGGAAACTTACTTTGTTCTTTGTCATTGCTCCAACAATTATAGGACACACCATTCCAGACAATGTCCCAACTCCATTTGAAATCCCCATTAAGATACTGGCATATCTTGGTGCGATATCTAAGTGGTTAACATTGAATCCTGTAAAATGAAGGCCAAAGGGGGAAAAAAACTCTCATCAACAGAGAAGACACTGCACTGAATAAGGTTTTGCTTATATTTATCCATTATTGAAAACCTTACCATATTCACAGGAAACCTTGCATAATGATTTTAGATCCCATTTTTGTTCATTGTTATTTAATGTATTCTGTTGGGAGAGAAATTCACTTACCAGATATAGCAAATCCACTGAAGCCCACAGCAAGCACTAAGAAGGAAATGGCCACACCTTTACTATGCGAATAACCAACTACCAAGAGAAGAGTTGCTTCCATTCCAAAACCTTGGGAAATTAAAAGAAAAAGTCATTGATGCTACACATTGTATTGAGGAATCTAGGAAGTAGGCTGGTGGACAGACAACATTTCAGTGTGCTTCTTCTTAACTGTAAGCTTTAAGCTGGAATGTTTCCATATTCTACTACTATGAAACATTTGACAAATATCTACTTAGTTCTACTTAGCTGATGGTAGTCTCTGAGAGCTTGTAAACAGGGGGTTTGTGAGAGCATTTAGCAGGGAAGTTTACAAATAATAAATCATCCTTAAGAGATAAACAGTTATACGACCTTCTGTAGATATCTAACATCAGCCCTGTAATGGGAATCTTTTAACGTCTGACGTTTTGTTGTGTTTTTCTTCTATTCTGTTGGAAGCCACCCAGAATGGCTGGGGCAACACAGTCAGATGGGTGAGGTACAAGTAATTTATTATTATTATTATTATTAGTAGTAGTAGTAGTAGTAGTAGTAGTAGTAGTTTTAGGGGGAGGACTGGAGTGCTGTCTCAGGGTGTACTTAGGACCAACAGACATAGACTGTTAGAAAGCTGCTGCAGTGACCTACTGCACCTGGTGGTCTTCCTGCCTGAGAATGTGCAAAACTACACCTGCAGCAAGTGCAGCAAGCCTTGCTGGAAGAGAAGGTACAGCAACTCAAGACCCACCTATCCAGACTTAGAGCTATTGGCAAGATGAGGAATTTCTCAGTATAGCAGAGTGGACTGTCCTGGAACAGTGATGTGGGGGGAGGTGCCCCCTACCCCATAAAAAGGATTATTCAAAATAGCTGTTTGCATGACCCACTATGGAGGCTAATAACACAATAGAATTCAGAACAAAAACTACTAATTGCACATTTATTCAAAATCCAATTAAAACTACTTAGTTTAATTAATTCAACAAAATTGATAAACCCAATTCAGCGATACCAACTTTTCAATGTCTAATACTCATTTACACCTCCAGCCCTCCCTGTCTCAAAGCACCCCCTCACACACCACCCCAGAGGGCAATACCACCCACTTTGAAAATCACTGATCTACAGAACTACATAGCTCAGAGCTAATTCATAAAATCCTTCTGTCAGTTTTCTTTGTGTGGTGTAGAAACAGGTGCACACCTCCCCTCCAGCATTCAAAGAGATGGACAGTGTATGACATGAGTCCGCATAACAATATATGCATACAGGCCAGACCGGGGCTTTTTTTCAGGGAGAACTCACAGGAACTGAGGTCCAGTACCTCTCAGGTGGGCAGCATTGCCATTCTAAGAGAAAGAGGGAGGTGTTCATAGTGAATTCCGGCACCTCTTTTTCTAGAAATATAGCACTGGGCCAGACTGATGCAAACTTATTTCATCATCATCATCATCATAATTTATCATTTCTACCCCGCCCATCTGGCTGGGTTTCCCCAGCCACTCTGGGAGGCTTCCAACAAAAGATTAAAAATACATTAAAACATCATTCATTAAAAATTTCCCTAACAGGGCTGCCTTCAGATGTCTTCTAAATGTCATATAGTTGTTTATTTCTTTGACATCTGATGGGAGGGCATTCCACGGGGAGGGGGGGCACCACTACTGAGAAGGCCCTCTGCCTGGTTCCCTGTAACTTCGCTTCTCACAGTGAGGGAACTGCCAGAAGGCCCTCAGAGCTGGACCTCAGTGTCTGGGCTGTATCATGGGGGGGGGGGAGACGCTCCTTCAGGTATACTGGACCGAGGCCGTTTAGGGCCTTAAAGCTCAGCACCAACACTTTGAATTGTGCTCAGAAATGTACTGGGAGCCAATGTAGGCCTTTCAGGACTGGTGTTATGTGGTCCTCTGCACTTAGGAAGTGTGAGATCTGCCTTATGTGCCTCATGAAGGGGAGTGCATGTGTCTGTTCTGTTGTATGATCATACACGAACCAGCACATTATAAACATTTTAATCATGTAGCTTTATCAAAGTAACTGTAATGAAAGCTTTAGTGTGGCTGTGAAAGTGTTGCCAACCGGGTATTTTTCACTATACTGTGCTCAAAGCTTTTTAATAAGGTGTAATGACTTACCTCCACAGTTCATTATCTTCCTGACAGTAGTGGTTGAAAGAATTTGTCTGCTTCTCAGAAAGTCTGCAATTTGTCCCCCAATAGGCACAATAATAGTCATCACTAAATGTGGCACAGCGGATAACATCCCCACCTAAGGTTAGAATAACAAGCAGAGTTCTAATCAAATGTATTGATTGGGCATTATGTGGGAGGAAAAAATCAGCAGCATTTCTCTGTAAGCACAAGAAAACTTTTAAAGAGAATATCTCTTTGAAGAAGAATGTCACCAGCATGGGGGGTGGGGGGAGGCATTTGGATTTCTGAGTCAAGGAGTTAAATCTGCAAACAGCCCATAAATAACTTTTATTTCCTGCTGTAAATATCTTAATATAAGCCAGTGTGGTGCAGTGGTTAAGAGCGGTAGTCTCGTAATCTGGGGAGCCGGGTTCGCGTCTCCGCTCCTCCACATGCAGCTGCTGGGTGACCTTGGGCCAGTCACACTTCTTTGAAGTCTCTCAGCCCCACTCACCTCACAGAGTGTTTGTTGTGGGGGAGGAAGGGAAAGGAGAATGTTAGCCGCTTTGAGACTCCTGAAGGGGAGTGAAAGGCGGGATATCAAATCCAAACTCGTCTTCTTCTTCTTCTTAATGACAGTGAATAGAGAGAATATATTAGCCTCTTTGAGCTTCCTATAGCAGCTAAAGTTGGGAACTAGAATTCACCCGTTCTGAATTTTGCTACCACCAGAACTGTGTACTTAACTTTTGTTAAGATCTTAGTCCTTTCATGAGCACCTGAAGATCAGTTAACTTGAACATTCCAACATGTAGTGATTACAGCATAAATCTGAGTTTGTGCTGATTTCTGCAATCATGCCTAACCAAACTGCTACCAGCTGAATTCAGCCAGAATTCAATATCTGAGATACTGCCACGAGAAAAGATGGAACAATGTGAAATGGTGGTGTTGGGTTTCTTGAAAAGGAGGCTTGGATGAAGGCAAATGGAGGGGGGAGCTCTCTGCAGCTAGTTTCACCCCTTCCCCATTTTACAATGTAAGTTTGCAAAAGAGGGAGAAGTAAAACCAGCTGCAAGAAGGCTAGAACATCAGGAAGCCCAGATACAGACATTCAGATTTGGCCAGGTCTTTGTGAGTTTTCAGAGAACTCTTGGGGAAAGCCCAAGCTTTCCGAAGAATTCTCAGGAGGAGGGTAAATATTTGGGTCCATTCCAAGTTGAGATGCAGCTGGTCCATCCATCTGTACCACAGGTGTGAATGGAAAAGCAGCCCTTTCTGAATGCTGAAACAATGTGTCTGATGTTGAGAGAATGTGGCTCTGTTATTGGGTTTAAATTGGATTTGTCAGCATTCATGGACATTTCCTGTGTCACTAACAGGATGATATCCAGACACTTAAAATGCTGAATTAATACAAGACAGTCTGTTGACAGAGTTGTTGGAATGCTAGAATTCCATCTCTGGAAACCAAAATAGATATCTCAATGCGATATTATTTTTATTGTTGATATCCACCTCTTCCATGCAGTTTTCTTTCCATCACCAGGGAAGATGTCAGCAGAAGATGAGAAACAGATCACCCTTACCAGAAGGAAGATGTGATTATAGCATGTGGACAGGCAGATACTGAAGGCTCTATGCTCATATTTCTTCTAGATGTGGAATGCACTAGAACTCAAACTATGCTATGCTACAGCAACAGCAACTATTTTTTATTTATCTTCTAATTTTTGTCTATTCATAAACAAAATAAACCAAATATAAAGAGCATAAAGAAATACTGTTGCATCAGACTGAAAGCAGCATAAGGGAGGACATGTTACTGAACTTGTGATTCTAGAACATTAGAAAAAAATACGCCCCCCCCCCCCCGTCCCGGAAATAGCAATTGTTTTGATAAGGGCTTTCTAGAGGTCATAATATGAACATTTGCCTCTTTAACAGATTCTAAGCATTTAATCCTTCCTATAATGAATGTGATATGCATATTGTGCTGTTATCTTCACTTGAGTTTATTCATGGTAGGTGCATACCGTATTGGCCTGAATATAAGCTGCACCTGAATATAAGCCGCACCTTTAAAATTGGAGGGGGGAAAGGAAAAAATACCTGAATATAAGCCACTCCATTCCTCATTGCTCCTGGCTGCATACTGGGAGGGGAGCCATGCTGCATTGCTGACAGCCTTTCCCCATCATCACTCTCTCCCTTCCCAGTCTTGGGGGAGAGGACAGGGACTATGTACAAGGCGGGCACTGCTTTGCCATGCTCCTGGCACTGTTTGCCCTGCGCTCCTGGCTGCATACCATAAGGTCATGAATATAAGTTGCACTTTAAGTTTTCACAGTTGGAATTTGCGGGGAAAGTGAGGCTTATATTCAGGTCAATACAGTATGTGAAGGTGAAATTGGAGTTATTTGCTCGTTGCTTTGAACAATTAAAAGAACGTGGCGTTTTGCTCAACAGATCATCTTAAGGCATTTCTAACCATTTCTCGTCTTTGGGGCACACACATAGGCAGCACTGAGAATCTTATATTTTAAGCTAAATTAGGAAAACACATATTCAGAGTTACGAGGGGCTATCTTTGGGGGTGGGGATAAGGAACATTTTTGTTCTGCAAAGCAGCATTTAGGCTGTATGATCTCCATTCATTCTGGTACCACTTTGAAAGGTGTTCCATAGACTCCACTGAAGCTGGGTAAGAAAGTGTCTCCCTGTTAATTCACAAACAACTTCCACCTTCACCAGGCAGCTGGGAGCTGGGAGCTGGAAACACCCCTGTATGAAGTTATACAACCAATCAATAATAATACCATACCTTGCTTATTTCAAATCCAAACACCTCTTCAAAGTAAGCAGGCTGACTAATGAGCAGTAGGTAAAAAGTCCAGCTTCTACAGAAGTTTGCAACAATGATTGCATAGACAGGCATAGAAGTAAAAAATTTTCTCCATGGAGTCTTGAATTTCTGGGGGGGAAAGCAGGGTATTTTCATGGATGTAATCTCACATTTTGAGTCTCCTAACTGGTCTGACTATGCACACACACACATTTGTCTTGCTACACAGTACTTGCTCATGTAAAAACAAGCAGGAAGTCCATACATATTTGGAAGATTATCAGAGATTAGCAGCAGGAACACAGAGTCATGCATAAATGCTTAAAATCCATATCTCAAATATGTTCAAAAATCCTTGTTCTTTTTTATTTCACTTGTTGTGATAATAAAATAACATTCTGGATTGCAGAGTTTTATTATTACTGCACTGACATTCCTCTCTCACACTGAGCAGTGTGGGATTCCCAAATACCATGTTTAATTCCACCCCTTTCAACGTGAAAATGGACTAAGAAAATGGGCATCACTCCAGAGCTGCATCTGTGTGTGTTGGCTACAACATTCCTTTAAAATTCAACATCAGCCTAAGCTAGAAGCACATTATCTCCGAATGTCAGGGTAGAAACATACATGATAGCAGAGCCCTTACTTCCATTGCTCCTAAAAGATTGGCACTCTCTCCAATACTCTCTTCTATGTATCTGCGCTCTTCATCTGTAATTGTGGGATGTGTTGCAGGGCTCTCGTATGAGACCAAAAGCCAAAACATGTACCAGACCATGCCAAAACTACCTGCATAACATATAAAGGGAAAAAAATGAATGTAAATAATAGCATTCTGAACAATATCACCCAAGCAGCAAAAATGTACCTGCCTGCAATTTGGCAGTTTATTTAGCTCTATATCTTTATGTATATATTTATATATTTGAGTTCTGGCTCCTTAATAAGATTGACAACATAATTAGGTTCTCTTGGAAGAGTCACAAAAGATGTTTCTATAATTGTCCACAGGAGCATGCAGGGCCCAGCAGATTCACAATCCTGCTTGGATCATGTGAGAGCATCATTGCATAAACTGATTCGCTTCTGCCTGACTGATAGTCTGAAAAGGCCTGCCTAGAGGCCCTCCGTCCCATCCCTACAGGCAGCTGGGCTGTGAATGGGGAGATGAGAGTATCTAGGCCATGGTAGATTCTACAGAAACGCATGTTCTGAAAGACACTGGAACATTTTGCTGTCCTCGTTCTATTTGGCTACAAAAGAAGCATTCCCTTTATTGTAACCTTAAAGGGTTTTACTATACTAAAAATATTCACCCCGTCTCTGCAGAGTTGTGGCACTCTGTCTGACACAATCACACAGTTTTGTGCTAATTTCTCCTCAGAGCAAGATTCAAACAGGTGCACTTGGCATCTTCTTCCAGTGACAACTCCCAGACAACATGTTGGGGTTTTATTCTGTGCCATTGAAGAGGTGGTATGCAAAATGAGCAGTGTTAATTAGTGCAGTGTGAATAGCCTACATTTCCCCCCTATTATTAACTGCAGTGTACATTTAGAATTTTTTTTTTAATGTTTTAAAAAAGAATTAAAATAGAGCTATGAAGCATATTGACTGCTGTCTCCAAAACCCATCTACAGGGCGACCATTTTCTTTGGATATTGAAGCAAGGCAACTCAGTTGTTAAGTTTGTAAACATTTTTGGAAGCCCCTCATTTTAAAGCTACTCTGCAGATTTTCACCAAACCGATAAAGCCGTCTCGTAGAATATCAGCCTGCCTCTGAATAACAACTGCTACAGCAAGAGAAGAGCTATTTCCCTCATGTCCTGCTTCTGCACCTTATTTCTAGAGGCGTCTCCCATACCTTCTCATGTGTGAAGCAGAAACCAGCAGCTGTTTCAGATGTCTTGTAAAGACTTATCTTTCTGGCCAGCCTTTCCCTGATCCATAAGACTGGAGCCTGTTTAATGTGTCTGAATTCTTGTTTTATTTGTTTGTATATGCTTTTATATTACCTTCTGCATTTCTGTTTAAATGACATTGTTTGTTTTCTGTATTGTACATCACTTTAATATTTTTTTAAATATTAAATAGCTTATTAAGGTAAAGGTAAAGGGCCCCTGACAGTTAAGTCCAGTCGCAGACGACTCTGAGATTGTGGCACTCATCTCGCTTTACAGGCCGAGGGAGCCGGCGTTTGTCCGCAGACAGTTTTTCCGGGTCATGTGGCCAGCATGACTAAGCTGCTTCTGGCGCAACGGAACACGAGCAGCGCACAGAAACGCTGTTTACCTTCCTGCCTATTTATCTACTTGCACTTTTTGGCGTGCTTTCGATCTACTAGGTTGGCAGGAGCTGGGACCAAGTAACAGGAGCTCACCGCATCACGGGGATTCGAACCACCGACCTTCTGATCAGCAGTCCGAAGAGGCTCAGTGGTTTAGACCACACCACAGTACGACCCGAGTCCCTGATAAATGGCTTATAAATGCTTTTAAATAAATAGAATGCATGTAGGCCTTGGGCCTGATCTTGCACTACGCTTCTTAGGTTCTTATGTTTTCAGCCTTGTAGGTGTGACTGTCTTGTGCAAATCTGCACAACTTTGTGCCATTTCAAATAATTCCATGGCACAAGCCAATTTCGCACATATTTCTAAGGAGCAATTCCACACCTTCTGCCCCGGCCTCATTTCCACCCTAAGAGCTGCACAGCAGGCAAAAATTCAACTGTGGGAAATGGTGTCTAATTCATTTGTACCTGTATGCAACTGTTAAAGATATGGGGGTGGAGGAGTGAAAATGCTAGGAGAAATAATACTGAAATTGTGCAGCTAATCTGTTGAAAACCTGCTTTGCAGAGACAATAAAAAGGACATTCCAAAAAGGACCTTTTCCGTATTCCACTCAGTCACTAACTGAGACCTTTCTACACTGCCCACTGTAATTAAATCAATTCAATATAGCTTTATTTTAGCTGACAATCTAGTTCATGGACTTTAATTCAGTTTCTCCACTTTTGCACTGAGGTAAGTGCAATGTGACTGAGTCACAGCTCTCATTTAAGGCCTAATTTGGCAGTTTGAAGATTTCTGCTGCTCTGGGAATTATAAAGCATCTTCATGTGACCTATTTTTGCTCTGCTCAAAATAACATTTTGAATTCTATTCCCTTAAAATCCTCTCAGAGCATTCCCACCCCCCACTTTTTTTCAACATAGCTGCATGCAGACCAAGATTATAGATGGAGGAAGGGAGCCATATTCTGAACGAAATTCCATATTCAGTGGTCCTAAAGCTTTCTGTTCTTACATATCCACAGAAATAATGGCTTTCATTCCCCCCAAATTCAGAATGCTTTGCGTGTCAAAGGATAATGGCATACTGAGTTGTTTCAAAGGGCTCAAGCATTTCACATAGACCATATATCCACCAAAATTTGGCCAGATATATACTGTGATGGTGTTTCTACTTCATTAAGGAACTAAATCCAACGTCTGGGTATGATGTTGAATGGCTTCAGTAACTAAAGGTATATTTTACCAACTCTGTCTGATCCAGTGATCATGGACCAGTATTAGCCATACTCAGAATAATTTGGCTTATTAATGTCAATGAGTCTATGTTGAGAAAAATTTAATTGGCTACCACCAACTGAAGAGATAGGATTTTACAATCTCCTTCTTGTAACTATAATGCTTTCATAGTATATACTATAGAGCATTCCAAAGATACAGGTACTGTAGTTGAGACAGTGGCTGCCCATCTTAACTTTGATGGAGAAAACTGGGAACATATAATAACAATCCTGCATAAATGACACATCAGGAACAGTTTTAAGATGTTGATTTGAACCTTTACAGCAGGCATGTCCAAAGTCCATTTCAAGGGCCTAATCCGGCCTGCTGGTCAATTTAATCCAGCCCCTGTGGCAGTATATGTCCTGGGGTAAAATCCTAACAACTGCAATCCTAAAGAAAGCTCAACAACTTTGGGCAGCCCTCATGCATGTTCACTTCATCAAATCCGACCCCCTTTGAAAAAAGTTTGGGCACCCCTGCTCTACAGCATTACATAACCAGACGACCTTAGGAAGCATCTCTCTTGCCCAACAATCACTGAGATCAGCAATGAAAGACCTATGGACTGTAAGGGTGAGCCCAAGGCATTTTCTATACTTGCATGGGGGTTGGTGTGTGTGCATGTGTATAACCCTCCCTTACGTAACTCTACACAACCATTAGGGCAGGGATGGAAAACCTGTGGCTCTCTAGATGTTGTTGTGCTCCAACTCCTGCCAACCCCAGCCTCTGTAGTCAACAGTTTAGGGTTGACGGGAGTTGCAGTCCAGGAAGTTCTGGAGTCACAGGTTCCCTATCTCTGCACTAGCACATTCCAGAATATCTTCCCTTTGGGTGGCAGTTTTGATATATCTGCTCTTTCAAAGTTATTTTATTATTCTATTGAATATTAGCATCTATATCTTTTAATTATCATGTTTTGTTGGGTTTTAAGTTGCATATTGTAAAGTGGCATAGAAAGCAAGGTGAACAGAGAATATCATACCATACACATAGAACACAGAAGACCATCCAGTATATTGCACTAAAATCCCAGCCAATGGCATTGCAATTACTGCACCTGCATAAGAACCTGGAAAAGAAGACAGCAATTAACAAAATGGAGATGCTTACTGAGGGGACAGGTCAGAAATGAATATTCATAAGAAGCCATGTTTCTGTCTGTCAAATGTTCGGTTTCTACCAGTTCAAAGTAGAAAGACATCTTTGTTTATGCAGGCTTCTGAAGAAAAGCTTCCATTGATGTTTTCTGGACAAAATGATCAAGTGAAGTAGACCAAATGGACAACATTACCTTTTTTATTTGGCCAACATCATCACATGGCTAGTTCATCCCACAATACTAAAATAATGAAACAGTCAACTTCCACGATTATTTTTGAGTCTTATTTTTGATCCATTTGGCTTTTTTGAGGGGGAGGTGTCATATATCAGATGTGATAAAATGGACACCTAAACACATTAGCCACAAATCAGATGCTTGATTCAATGCCAATTTAAATGCCTTAAAAATACTCCTTTCCGGTGCACCTGTCATTTGTTATGTGAATACTGAGGAATTCCAAATGATTGTTTCACCATCTCAGTGTTTCATTCAGGTTGACAAAGAAATCCAATTGTACTTGTGTGAATCAGAGCTGCAACACTCGGAGTTACATTCTTAAATTCCTAATTTTTCTTCACAAACTGAGAGGTGTGAGCTTGCTATTCCAAACTCTTAGGTGGAAGAAAATCCAATGGCAGTCAATAGGCGTGAACCTTGTTGATGAATGGGAGGGGGGGAAATATCAGTTTATTTCAGAGAATGCTGGAGAAGGGAGAGGGGGGACACATTTGAGAAATTAAGGTGCTACTTACCACAGAAAGAAGTAGTTGCTAGTCTACTTCTCTCTAAAGGAGGTGCCCATTTGCTCCATATCCCATGGCAAGCTGGATAAGTGACGCCCTGTGGAGTAGATGACCTAGTTTATGATACCTGCTTCAGCATAATATAATTTGAGTAGTACCAGGAGTAATCAGTTACATGGAGCAAATCTGAGTTGTGAATATTCATAGGTCACTGAGGAGCTGGCAGATTTATGACTATCTGTGACAAGTAATACTGGAAATGCAATACTCATTTTCAGTGAAACATCTACATATATTGTGCCTGATCCGATGTTTTCTAAGTTTGATTCATTCATTTATTTTAGTGGGGCAGAAATTAAACACCATAGCACCCTATGGCTGTGTATGTTTTGGTGGCATTTTTCATTTTAAGGTAAAGAGACCCCTGACCGTTAGGTCCAGTCGTGGCCAACTCTAGGGTTGCGGCGCTCATCTCGCTTTATTGACCGAGGGAGCCGGCGTACAGCTTCCAGGTCATGTGGCCAGCATGACTAATCCACTTCTGGTGAACCAGAGCAGCGTACGGAAACGCCGTTTACCTTCCCACTGGAGTGGTACCTATTTATCTACTTGCACTTTGGTGTGCCTTCGAACTGCTAGGTTCGCAGGAGCAGGGACCGAGCAATGGGAGCTCACCCCATTGCGGGGATTTGAATCACCGACCTTCTGATCAGCCACCAGTGTCCCATTTTTTTTCCTTTTTCATTTTACCCACTTTTAATTAGTCATATGTCTGATCACACTCAGGGGTGAATTGGATGATAAGCTAATGCATTCAGATCCAACTGTTAGTCATTTAAAACACATGCTGTGGATGGTGAAGAAGGTCCATTGAAGCTAATGGGGCACTGCCCTGTCAGCTTCCGTCTGCCCCCAGGCAGTCCCACCTGCCAGCCTTCTTTCAACCATTCTAGGGGCTGGCATTGCATGCCAGCTTCCTCCTCCATAAACTCAGTGTTGCACTTGTGGAACTCAGCAAGGAGAAGGCAAGCAGCAATTTGGATGCAAAGCTGAAGGATACAGAGGTACCAGCTAAGGAGCTGGACCAGATTCAGGGCTCTGAGCCTGCTGCTGGAGTTCAAGAGACAACTGGGCCAGCAGATGACTGACAGCCCACAAAACCTGGGCCTATAGAGCCACAGCCTTATTGGCACTGTCCTTTGAGCCAGAGGTTCCTAATGCTTCCCATAGTATCTCAGTGGCCCAGGGAGCACACCAGGCAGGAGGTCAAGGAACACAGGAAGATCCGTGTCTTTTAAGAATCTAAGCTTCCCACAAGGGGGTGGAGCCTGAGTGAAGTGACCTGGGGGCAGAGGCTTATAAAGGCTTAATGTACTATCAACCTCTGCTTTCTTTGGGAGCTGCCCTTCAAGAAAAAATATTGGGGGCACAGTGTTAGAGACACTGTTGAAGGGTTTTTAAAAATAAAAAATCAGGGGATAGGCAGAGATGAGGTATTAGGAAAGATTGCAAGTGAGGTGTAATAACACAACAGTCGGTAAGTGGTGGTGATCAGGTTTTTCCTCTGGCCTTATAACACTATTAATTTCCAAGGAGCAGGAGAATCTCCGTTGGAGGGAGTTGCTCACTTGGAGCTATCCATGGTACTTCAGCTCGTGCTCTGCCTCACTGGATCCAACACCAAGGTGCTTGTGTCACCTGCCTATACAGTGGTACCTCTGGTTACGAACTTAATTCGTTCTGGAGGTCCGTTCTTAACCTGAAACTGTTCTTAACCTGAGGTACCACTTTAGCTAATGGGGCCTCCTCCTGCTGCTGCTGCCGCCGCGCCGCTGCTGTGCGATTTCTGTTCTCATCCTGAAGCAAAGTTTTTAACCTGAGGTACTATTTCTGGGTTAGCGGAGTGTGTAACCTGAAGCGTCTGTAACCCGAAGTGTTTGTAACTCGAGATGTTTGTAACATCTAATCCTGTGGGCTGTTTCTTTCTCCCCACTTTCCTCATGCCTAGCTTACATTTCTTCTCTGCTCTATCCTGACATTATCTTCTCTTCTGCTCAGCTCTTTCATAGCTTCAGAATGAATTTCCTTCAAAGCATTCACATGCAGCCATTGTGCCTACTCCTCCAGGAGCCCCTGCAGGTCATTCATGTTGGAGCAAAGAAATATGTCATGTCAAGGTTACATCATGAGGATCAATCTTTCTCCTATTCGAGTTGGCCATGGTGATAGAGAAGCAAACGTTAAAGAGTTTGTATTTCTTATCCATACCTCTACAAGACCTTGCAAGATTCTGACAAAGATAACACATCCATAGTGCACTCGAGCTGCAGATGGTATTAGCATATTGAGAGTGGACGTCAATAGAATAGCTGCACCAAAAACCCTGTAAGAGAAGAGGAAGGCAATGGAATGGTGCTGTTTAAACCTATGCCAAGAATTCAAGCACACTGATCTATCTTTTTATATTTAAGCTTTCTGTGAAGCATATGTGCTGACTTAGATATCTGTGTTATTCATTCCATGCATGCCAAAATATCTATTTTAGTAGAGGAATATTGTGATTTCATAAAGGGTTATTTTAAATGCACTCCACATGCAGGATCCATCTCTTTGGGGAAATATTTCCCCAGTACTTTTTCACAATCAATCCACATTTCCCAGAGTGGGAAGAAGTTTCGGGTTCAGTGTTACAAGGTGTAGTGTCCTTTGCATGAGAGTGCACTGGTGTTGTATGGTGCTTTGCAACACCTTTTAAACAAAATATACAAGCGCAGGCTAATCAAAACAAGCAGGCTCCTAAAAACAGGGATGCAGATCTCCAAGAGAGATTCTCTGCAACCAACTACCTTCAGCCAGTTCACATCTCTCTCCAATTTCAAAGAGCAAAACTTTATTCTTTTCTGAAACACACTGCAGAGCACTCGTTTGACTTCAACCTTGGCAGGTAGATTGCCTATTCAGGAATATGTCTCCTGACTATTCGCTCCCATTAATGGAATGTCAACCAACCATTATGGCATTACAAAGCCATCAACTAAACAAAAGATGGTCACTTTCAATCACAATGCTAGTACTGGACTTTGCATAAAATCATTCAAAATACACCATCAATGACTTATCACTTGAGGAAGGTCAGTAGGTGAATATGAAAACTGTCCCAACTAAAATGTATTGTGTTTAATTTATGTTAAGCACTATAAAAGTGCTGCTTGTTCTTTGATGTTGGATATGAATGCAAGTAATCACTTGATGTTGCATTCATTGAGTAGTAAAGAATGCATGTGTGAACGCACACTTAAAGGAATGGGTAGAGAAAACTAATGTCAACACTGACCATACAGGGAGCTCCATGAACAGTGTTGATTTTGAACTACAATGACATATGTCCAAAACCAATTTCCTACTAAGAACCAAGAACTTACTGCATTACCTTGAACAGGTCACCTACTTCTCCTAGCTGCTGTTAAGGATAAATGAAATAAGGAAAGTGTGTTGCCTTGAACAGGAAATGGGAGTTGCATGGTGATCATCAACAAAACAGTCAGGAAAATGTGGGCTGTCTTTAATTCATTACAAACAAAGCAGGAAATAGGGCCATATTGCAAAGCATAGAGCACACTTCCAGTACATGCTTTCTATGCATCTGTTTATAAAAAGAGAGAGAAATTCTGGAACTGGAAACAGGATTGATTTTGTTTGAAAAGACAGAAAAATGACTTAAGGCAGCTGTGCAGGAAAAGGTCACTTGGTCCACAGAGGATGCTCCACTGAGATAGGTCTCCACTTCACTCTCTTATTATTAATACATCCCACCAAACCTCTTTCTGTATAAACAATCTCTCTCTCTCTTGAGAAAGAAAAAGCCTGAGTGTGTGACCGAGTACATATACCTATTTGACAGCTTTTCTTCACCAGTTTCCTGTATTTCCTCCCTCCCTAGATTAACTATACTAGTTTGAATTCAGTGTTTACTTTAACATACAGTTTGTATTTCCTAGATGATGAACTCTATTAAACGTATGAGTGGCTCATTTCCTAGTATTTTATTTTAATCCATTCACTCCAGTGCATTTAACGTACATGAAAATCTGCCCTTTCATATGAAAGTACCAAGATCCCAATGAAGCCAAGTAGTTAAATATATACGATAAGGGTATATTTCCTAGTTTGGTTAAAAAAAAAAACATTTTAAGAAACTGTCATCTATATGCCATGTTTCTTTTTTGTGGTCACTTTTGTATCGTACTTCATTGTCTTTTCTATTGTACTTCTGTAAGTACAATAGATTATTTGATTATTTGATTATTTTACCATAGGTTTCACATATTCTTTAATTGCTAGAGTTGTTATATTTATAATTATATGAATAATGTATCTTGCTTTATATCTGGTGAGGACCAAATTACACAGTGAATTGGAATGATTCGGGGCCTTTCCACCCCTCACATGTGATGTCAATAACCCATCCCAGAGTCAGATTAGGGACCCTACATAGCTTTGTGTTGCTATGCTGTTTCTGTTCCTTCTGTACCATACAGATAGATAGATATATCTCTGTCCATGGGCTTTGCAAAAAATGAGATTGTCCAAAATGTTGCCTGCAGAGCAATGAAGAGCTGGAGGTGGGTGATGGCTTTTGTTGTTAAAACACAGCAGCAAAGGGTTAAAATTAATTCAATGTAGCTCTGCTTTAACAGCAGCAGCAACAACAACAAAACCACAGCCCTTCAGAACTCCACAGGCAGCCTAACTCTGTGACAACCAAAACGAAAAGGCCGGGTGTGAAGCTACAAAGTTTTTTAAAAAAAATACAAATACCCCAAAAACAAATACCCCACTCAGCCACCTGCTAATTCTTGTATGGTAAGAAACAAAAAAACCTGCCCCTACCATAAAGGACTACAGAAGAAAGTGGATCCCTTTTATTTCCCTCACAAAAAGCCCTTGACCTATTTGTTGGCAATTTGGCATACTTAATTCACTACAGTAGGATTTTCCTGTGCCTGTAAATTTCATCCACTTTGGCCAAAAGGGGGGGAAGTTGTTTACATTCTTCATTATGGTGAATGGGAAACACGGGGCTTTGGTTTATACCAAGTGGCTAAGGACCTGAAACACAGATCAACACAGAGAGAACACTAAATGGCTAGAAACAGATCAGATTTTTTTTTAATGCACATGTACAGATACAAGGCAAATCTTGGGACATGTGCACACTCCTAGCATGAAATACCATTAGGATCTACCTGACTTGCTGCCTGATTTTACAAATACTGTAGTGCAAAAACCCAGCAGCTCATAAGACTAGACCTTCAGGGATTTAGTGTTGCACAAGTAAACAGCTGGTTTTGTTTATCCAAAGTTCTGATTATTTCTGATTTCAGAAATTTGGATAATCATTATTCAAACATATCTGTTTTCCTTTGGATTTCTTAGGCTAGCACAGCGGCGTAGCGTGGGTTATCAGCACCCGGGGCAAGGCAAGTAATTTGCGCCCTCTAACCCGGGGCAAGGCAAGTAATTTGCGCCCCCTAAACCCGGGGCAAGGCAAGTACAGTAATTTACTCTCCCAAGCAGCAGCAGCGAGGCTTCTCTTTCCCCGCGCTCTCCTGGAGCTGCCTCTTTTTCTTCCTTTTTTCCCTTTCTCCAAGGCTTTTCGCTTTCTCTCCTAAATTGATTCCTCCTCCACACCGCAGCGTTTCCTGGCTGCTCCCCCCCTCTCTCCTCCTCGCTCTGCTTGCCTTTTCCCTGCCCTGCCTGAGGCGCCCTGAGGAGACCTCCGCTCTCCTTTTTGACCAGGCGAGGTGGAAAAAAGGGGGGAAAGTCTCTTCCCCGCCCCCTCGCCAGACTCCCTGCTCGGCTCGGCTCACTACCCAAGGCGGCCAGTGGAGAGAGTCTTGAGCCGCTTAATTCCCAGCAAGGAATTAGCAGGCTCGCTCCACCTCCTCCTCCTCCCGACTTTGCTGCTGCTGCTGCTGCTGCGCGGCTTTTTTCCTCTACCGACGGCACGCTGTGCCTTGGAGAGGTTCCCGCTTCCTCGAGGGGGGCCGGCCAAACGCGCCCCCCAAAATGTTGCGCCCGGTGCGGCCGGCACCCCTGGCACCCCCCACGCTATGCCACTGGGCTAGCATATCTGGCCTAAATGCTCCTACTTGAGCCTCACTATTTTCCTCGCCTATCTTTGTGCTTTTTCTGTTTCAGGAGTCATTTTCTTTACTGAATTAAAGCAGAAATCAGAGTGTTTCATTTTCTATTATTTTCTGTCCCTTTAATGGCACAGCCTATATTTCTATATATGCAACCTTGTACTGCAACGTACAAGGAATTTCATCCAAAATCTCAAAATGGTATTTCTAAAGCTGACATCAAAATAAGAAGAAAGCTAATGTCTGAAGAATAAGGATAAAAGAAAGCTGAACAACAAATGCTAGGTTTGACCTCTGCTGTAACAAGGCTAAGCCTTCTAGGTGACCTTTTCATATTCACTGGCACTCACTGCTCCCATCTGTATTGTATAACATTTGCATTGATACATCTCCTTAAATTGCTAGAATATCTGGAACTGAGGTGTCTAAATTTGCAAACTTTATATTATCACAGGGACTTTTTAACAAATGCCTTAAATGCAACATTGCTCTTAATTTATTGATATAAAATATCTTATAATGCCTTTACTTAAAATGCACTAGGGTATGTGCAGTAAATAACACTGAAATTCCAAGACAGCAATGAAACAGCAACGTACACTGTGTATAAAGCAGCAACATATACAAGCTAGGGCAATTGTAAAGTTAAAACAAATTCAAACCCAACAGATACAGCCTGCCAGCAAAGGCAGTTTAAGCAAGTGCTTTTATTTTTCCCTATCAAAAATAGCTCCACTTTCCAGAGTCACTCTGGTTATTTGGGTTCCATTCTGTACTGCAACATTTATACCACAGTCATTTCATGGCTTGCTACCCTTTTCACCTTTTCAGACACCATTAAACAGTAGCACTTGCTTTAATATGAGTCTAGCAGCACAGTCCTATCTCAGAAGTCCTACAGTCCTACAGTGGGGTTTAATCCCAGAAAAGCATGAGTCTTAATGCAGTCTTAATGCAGGTGATGGGAGGGGAAACCAGAAGTACCGGTATGTCTGCAATATCCAAAAAAGAATCATTTAAGGACATTAAAGCACATTGTGTGGTTATCTGTCAGCAGATGGAGCAATTGCTTCACTAAATTCTACTTTCAGGAAAGTATTTCCTTACCCAAAGTAAATCACATTTTTAACTGGACTGTCAGTTAAATATAAATGTTACTTTCAACTCCCTACACCACGTTCACTCCTCCTTCCATTATGAGAGAATATATAGTAATACAGCACTGACACTGAAACAG